AATTTTTTTTGGGGGGGGGGGGGTCCGTATGCCCGTGGCCTTGGTGGCCGAGCCGGCTAAAGCCACCGAGGATCCGCCATGGCCTCCCGAGTCCCCTGGTCTGCCATGGCCTCCTGAACTCCCTGATCTGCCCTGGAGGCCTCCCGTGTCTCCGTCCTGTACCAGCCTCCAGGGTGCCCATCCCCCTTCCCCGGTGGAATTGTTACGGTGCGAGACGCGCCTTCGGGGTGGGGGGGGTACAGTCATGAATCGGCCAGGCTCAGCCACCTCTCAATCACAGCGAACACCATCACCTACACACCTCACTTCACTCCAGTGTCCGGTCTCGTTTCAACGAAGTGGACTCTCTCTCTATGCTATCCGTGAGATACATTGAAAGACTTGCCTGCCTGTTAAATTTACCTCCTGTGTTTCCTCCAGTGTGTTCTCCTGTGTTCCATTCCCTAGTTCGTTCCAGTCATCAGCTCCGTGAAAACTCTGTGTACTCTTCAGCTGAGGTGTGTGCAGTCCTCTGTCTCCCTTCCACGATCTCCTGTGAGGACCAAATATGGTGTTACTCTCCTCATCTTCCTTAAAGACTGATATAAAGTTCAAATACTCACCTGCCTGTACCATCTGCATCTCTTGCTGAAAATAAACACCCTTGTATTTTTCTAATCATCTGTCTCCTTCCGTAACAATTACTGCTTCTACTGTATATTTAATCAATGTTCCTTGGTGAGCATAAGAGACTGACCCCAAACGTTTGAACAGTAGTGTACATAATTTAAATGTTTTGTTTTTCTTATTTTTTTTCTTTTAGGGGAGGAAGTTTTCTAATGTGGACAGTCCAGTGACAGTGACTTAAAAAAAATATAGAGAGAGAGAGATACGTTATAATTTGTTACAGTTTAATACTTCTAAGACTCAACTTCTAAATTCAAAAGGCTATATTTGCTGAGCATATTGAGCAAGTGAAGAAGTTAATTTCCATTTTGATTAAGTGCATATTATCGTGCTGTCACACTTTCTGTTTCTTTATCTCTGTTTGGAGCTTTGTTTAAATATGAAAACTGCACTTTCTCTAATTAAATTATCCTCCATCACAACAGGTACATCTCTGGGGCCTTTCACACCAAAGATTCATCCAGGAAAATATATGCTTTGCCCATGAACCGACTCCTTGGAGGAGGAAAAGATATCCAGCAATTGACTTCCATCAGAGAGCTAACCTTAATGATGTTTATTGTCTGACAGATCGCCTCAATGAAATACAACCATCAACATCCAGCTTAATAATGCACTGGAGGCCTTTAGTCCCTGCAGTCCAGGCAAAATCAATGTCCAGCACATCCACAGAGAAAGAACAGTAATAACTGTGTAACTCTATAATGGCGAATGTGGAGGTCATGGTCTCAGGGTCTCAAGGCCATGAAAGGCTTCCCACTTCCTGAGACACTACAGACAGGCAATTTCGCCTATCAGGTTTTTGCAGTAGTATTTTTTTCTGAAGAACTATGTTGGTTATTAAGCATTATGCCTCGCAGTTGGACTGCATTTCTATTTTTCATTCTCGTCCCCATTGCAGCTGCTCATTTACACAGCATTACGATGCCAGCTCTAGTGACTCTTAATGCAGAAAAAAAGAATGATTCCATGCGTCTACAAACTTGCTGATGACTATACAAGGTAGGTCCGCACCAGCTACTCCTACACTGTAAAAAATGCTGGGTTAAATACAACCTAGTGCTGGGTTTGTCCTTATTTTATCCAGCACTGGGTTGTTTTTAACCCAGCATTTTTTAGAGTGTAAGGCTTTTCTGAGACGATTACCATCAGTCATCTCAGATACTTTGGCATGATTCTGTTTTGTTTTGGACCACATGATATCGCTCTTGTGTATCGGGATATTTCTGAAAAAGAAGGAACTAAACCAGCTGTTAAATCATAAAGTGACTGAGCAGTGATCTGAACAGCCTCAGACGCCATGCTCATCTAACGCATGATGCATATAGAAATGGCAAGGCTGAAATCACCGGTTCAAATTTGATTGGCTGGCTTTACACAACTTCAGAAATAAAAGCACTTAAAAAAATCTCAACAACAGAACTGCGTTTACAAGGAACTGAACTGATAAAATGAATCATTTATATGAAGGAATAGTCTCTAGATTTGCCAGATTACTGACATCAAATCTGTTCAAATGTATTCAGATTTTCTTTTTTTCACAGAGACAGCCATGCCATTATTTTACTGCAAAAAAATAAATAAACATTTGGGGGTCCAAGCCCCACATACCAGGTTTGTTTTTCAATTTTCTTATTATCTGTATTATTAGTATTCTTCTTCTGCCCTAAACGTGTCTGTACCTCAGAAACTTAAGTCCTAGAGACACCAAACTTGGTGGGATAGTGAAAAATCCCAGAAATCCTACTGCGAGCGCATGCTCACATATCCATCTGACACTAGATGGCACTATAATAAATACATGTGCATTTCTGTTTATATTTCTAGAACTGTAAAATCTAAAGTCTTTGAAAATTTGTTATTCATTCTTATATTTAATTTTTGTCTATAATTTTTTTCCACAATCTTTAATTTTCTGAAAAACGTCTAAACTCCTTCTAATCCTTCTATCTAAACCATTCATCCGATCGTTAGCATATTTTGCACACAGCAACTCTCGACACGCTGCAAATTTGAATGAATTGACATATATCCAAACTTAATGAATCCTGACAGACATAGATAACCAGACAAGTTGTTTGCTAAGTTGCATGCCAAGTTACGTCAAATTTTACCAATAGGTGGCACTACAACGGAAAAATAATGTTAACTTCACAGTGAAAGAAGATATTTTTAGAAATGTCTCATTTTGTTGTCCATTCAGCGGAAGTCATTGGTCACTAAAACTGTTTTGTTATCAAAATTCTACAAAATATCTTTTTTGCATTCAACAGGAAAAAAAGAAATTTGCAATGACAAGAGGGTGAGTAAATTATGACAGAATTGGCATTTTTGGGTGAACTACCCCTTTAAGTCTTTTTTTTTTTTTGCAGTGTTGAATTTGTTTTAGAAAACCACACCACTGACCGGCACATAAAAACAAAACAAATAGTGTTTAGTCCCTTTACATGAAAATCAGTCTCTTGCTGTCTAAGCAGGCAGTTCTTGGTCAGAAAACCTGCGATGCAGACCAGACTTTACACCACAAGTCAAAAGTCTGAATAAGATGGAAGGTCTGAGACTAAGATCAGACCTCTCTTTTTTTCTCTTTGTTCAGGGTCTCTGTCTCATGTGCAAGACTAGACAGATGTTGATAATTTATAGATTATCCAGTGGAGGCCAGTCAGAGTTTGACAGGAGTTTATAGTGAGTTTGATACCTGCCTGTGCAGCAGGCTGAGCTTTCACAGCATCTGCTCTCTCAGAACTCAATCTCGCCTTAGGCTCACAACAGAAGGGAAAAATGAGAAGGCGGAAAGTAAGCAAGTTAGAAGCTGTGTGTGTGTTCAGCAGAATAGTGTGTACTCATAGCTCCAGCTTCTAGTCTGCCATGTATCTTAATGCGTGTGTGTGTCCTCGATGGTACAAGAGTGCACTCACCACCACAGTCTCCAGTTTGCCACTCAAGGCACTGGCCATATGGGAAGGAGATGACATATGCATTGGAATCCACACAGCGCTTGGTGCTGCCACACCACATGCACTCCATGGCCTGGCTGGTGCAGTTGGCGCAGCTGTTTCGCAGGGCGCAGGGAATTTTACATGGAAGCACGCCAAGGTTTGGGCTCACTGAGGGAGGAAAATGCAGTAGTCAGTATTGCAATGACCTTTAAGCAAATTACATCATTTAAAAAATTTTCAAACTATAGATAACTGAATAACTATTAAATTCAATTTCCTGATAAATATACAATAGGGTCCAAAAGTCTGAGACCACTAGTGAGAATCTGAACTGTTTTCATTTTACAAATTTAATGCAAGATTTTATTACAAATGATATTATCAGCATTGCAATGACTGAAAATTTTAATTGATAAATTAACATGAGTTTCAGAAATGATGGCCTGCTTTTCATGCAACGAGCTGCATGAATCAGTTATATTTAAATATTATTTATATACTACTATGTTATTTATTAATATTTTGGATTCACTTTCATTTTCATATTTTCAGTTTTCATTTTAATTTTAGTAATTCTGTTTCAGTATGTACTTTTGTCATTTGTCAGTTAGCTGCCAAGCAACCACTTCTAAGTTGTTTATTTTTTAAGTTTAAGATTATCATCTAATATTTATATTTTATTTCAGCTTTTTTTTAACATGCAAATTACTTTAAATCATTTTAATTTTCTTTTGAATTAACAATAACAACATGAAATACAAAGGTTTGTGTAAAACCCGGTGATGAAGAATGGAAGCAACATTTATAAAAGTCAGACGATCAATGTCAAAAAATGTACTTTCATTAGTAACTGAGATTTCATTCAAATTTTAATTTGTCCAAAGTTAATCCAAAGATTTTATTTCAAGGTTAAAATTACATTTTAAATCCCACATTTCAATTAAACTTTGCACTGCACTGTAATCATGTATTATAACAAACTCTGTAGCTATAATAATAGTTCTGCAGTTTTATCAACACTTAAAGATGACAGTACTAATAATGTTTATTACAATCACGATAATGACAGTATCTATTCTTATTGGCCCAATGAGCACAATGAGTAAGAATAAAATGTAAATAAGACATGAAAAAGAGCAGAATAAACACAGAGAAGAGGAGAGGACCAGTTGAAATTCATTCTTTATGCTCTTTGCATGTATTGGGGGTGGTGGGGGGGGGGGGATGTCCAACACTTGTTCAAGGCCTAATTTGTTTTTCCCCTGAGCCTCTATTCCAGAGTGTTTCAAACAGGTCCAACAGACATACTGCCGCAAAGTACTCAACAGCTCTGCTCATTTACAAAGTCAAAAATAAATAAATCAATAAAATTATTTAAAAAAAGCAAAGAACTATAGCCCCTTGTTTTAACTGGAAATTATTATTTCATAAAATGTCATTTGTTCAATACATCATATATGGAAAAGAATGTTAAGACGGATGCAGACACCAAATCACATTCACATATGTGTCATAAATAAAATAAAGCCAAAGGCAGGCCTGTATAAAAATCTGTATCAAATTAAAGGGAAAATCTCCAGAATTCTGTGGAATAGGTATTTAACAGTTTATGTTAATGGAGCTGAGAATACTAAACCTAAATTGCTAACAAAAAGCATTATCAAATTAAGACCAAATATATCTAATAAAAGTCTACTAAAGGAGTAAGGATGTGCAGAACAGTGTGAATGCCAGACTTCCCATTTCTTCAGAACTCTGTGGAGTTTTCTGAGGGAGCCGATTGAGTTTGGCTTTGATGTATAAGAACAGCATCCACCACAGAGCAGGTGTTGAATCTCCTCCAGGTTCATGTTAGGAAAGGTGCAAAAAAAAAAAAAAAAACACACAACGAAACCTTTTCTCACCAACTGGCTTCTCACAGATCAGCCCCTCGGTGTTGGCAGTGCAGGGTTTGGCTTTGAGTCCGGCTACCTCAGCTCTTTCCAGGTATGCACAAAACCCTGAGTCACTTGGCTCCCCTGGTAACCACTGGAGCGTGCTGTCAGTAAAGGGAGACATATCCTCCCACCCCCAGTATGAAACATTTATCTTCCTTAGACCCACCCAGGGAGTTAGTTTCTGCAAGAGAGAAAAGGCTTTGTTCATGTCTTCTTTACATACATACATACACACACACACACACACACACACACACACACACACACACATACACAATACATACACAACATATAATAAAATTCAACATAAAATGCATAAAAATGACATTCATACATGCAATGACTTAAATAGACATCTTCCATGAATAACATTTTTTATTATTATTATTATTTCTGGGTTGATTTTAAAATTTCATTTTGTAAAAAGCCTCAAATGAATGCACAGAATTAAAAAAATTGCATAAAAAAATGACAAACATTTTTATTTCTTGAAACCACAAAACAAAACAAAACAAAACAAAACAAAACAGCTACTATTATTTGAAAAACAAAATGTGTTTTTTAGAAAATGTGCTGCGACCAAATGCAGGAACATGTTATTACTAATAAATACATACATACATTCATCTGTTTTCACTTGCTGCATACTAAAATGTGACTGTGCCACATATCTAACATAAAGCATGTTTAAATGCATTAAAATGCTATTGGCCTGTATTCATAAATACTCTGATTATGAACATTAGTGTGAAGAACAGAAAGACATCTGAAGTTAAAACGATAAACAGACTGACATATTTGCAGATGTGATAAATTTAGTGAAATAAAACAGAAGAGTTCTTCTTCATAAACTGCTATTTGAACTCAATTTGAACCTGATTTTGCCACATTACAGACTATCCTGCTGGGCATTAATTCAGTGCACCTTGACATTTTGATGGCTAATAAGCCTGTCTACTGTGCATAAGATGTGTTATGGTCTTATAAATTCACATTTCTTTCTGTCTCTCTTTTCTCTCTTCTTTAAGGAAAGGCAAAAGGCCAACGCAGTTTAATTATCAATTCAAGGCAAAACAAACTAAATTTGACATACCCCAACCTCTCAGATTTTCCATTCAAATGAACAGCTTCTCTGTATGAAAAGGTATTGTGTACTTTGATTAAAAGGGTTAAAAGGTTTAAGATCTCCTGTGAGTTCCTGTGTGCAGCCACAGGGAGTGAGTGACTGTCTGTGTGAGTGACAGCAAAGACAAAAAATAGTGGCAACTGAGAAACCGCTGCATGTGAATCTTTTTCACATCAAAGGTGGGTCCTTTAGAAAACTGTGTTAATCTTCAAAGGACAAAAGCTGCTTAAACACAGAGGCTCACGCCGCAATCAGCGAGGAAGCGGATTACGGAGAGAGTCACTCCTTTCCTTTTAATTAACACATGACAAATATTTACAGCACGGGACCGGGGAGACTCCACAGATTTTGTACAGAATGGCTTTTTACTGAAGGCATGAGTAAGGTTTTTTGACGTGTAAAGTTGAAGTTTAAGTTTTACTGACATTTAGAAACTAACCTACACCCGAAACACCTGGCACTACATCTGGACTTGACACACAGAAACTTACCAAATAAATTGTAAATGCTAATGTTTGTTTACTTGGACAGAAATAATATCTGTCTGGATATTTGAGGGTGTTTAAATAATTACTTTAAAATGGGCTTCAGAGCAGTGCAAGGCAAATATACTTAAAAATGAGAACTAATTTAGGTAACCATGACAGGCGCCCAGACAGAAGTCTGGAAGACAGTGTCAGTAAAAAAAAAAGTTTGCTGTCAGCATTATTCCTTTACTTTTACACACTGCAGTTGGTGTGAAAGGGCCTTTACAAAAATACTGGTATTTCAATACCAAGCCAATGTTAAAAAAAAAAAAGTAGCAATATACGTCTTTCTACATTCTCTCTTGGCAAAGTATTAAATGAATGTAAACCGGCATTATTACTCTAGCTCATCCTTGTATGATAAACTGCTTGTGATGTTCCTCATGTTTAAGTTGTTTTGTAAAATAGCATACTTAATGACTGAATGTAAAAGACTAAAAAAGGCCATGTTTTCATTCATGAAAAAATAACGACTAAAGTCAAAGAAAAGGAGAAAATCAGTCACTGCTTTCAAAACCGGTATCTAGTACCATGAAATTTCACTGGTAATGCACTGACTGCTGAATTTTTGACATGTTGACATAACTAATCAGTATACAACATACTGAAAAAACGGTAACTGCTGACTGTGTTCTAGATCAATACCCAACCACTACCAAGACAAATCAATGTAAACTAGCACACAAACAACAGTGACTGAGCTTGACTCACCTTCTCCTGCAGCTGATACTTCTGCAGCTCATCCAGTATGAAGTCCACCTGCCTGGCGGAGGTCAGAGAGGCAATGTTGCCGTCCAGGTTTTTACAGTAGTGCTGGGCATTATCATAACTCTCCTTACTTGCGTTCAGCCTCAGACATGCATCCCCAACCTGACTCCAACCCTCTCCGCACAAGTGTGCTGTAAAGAAGCAGAGAAATTCAGGATAAAACCAGGCTTCACTGTCCAAACTACGCCTCACTCACACAAGACCTCTGAACAATGCAAACAAACCATTCTGATTAGGATATTGATAAAAGGAGCTTTCTATACAGCCAAAAATAAGTAAATAAATGCAGTTACTTTCTATTCATTACAGGAAAAAAAACATGTATCTTGGTTTTTCACAAAATATTCAGCTGTTTTCAACATTGAAAATAATGGAAACACCATTTTGGGCACCAAATCAATAATTTGTGAAGGGTCGTGTGACACTGAAGACTGGAGTAATGGTTGCTGACAATTCAGACTTGTCATCACAGGAATAAATAACATTTTACAATTGTCATATACAGTTATTTTAAATTATAATAATATTTCACACAATTACTGTATTTGTGGTCAAATAAATGCAGCCTTGTTTCAAATACAATGAAAAATCTTATCAACCCCAAACTTTTGAACAGTAAGTGTAAATCAAACTATATCTTAAAGTTAAGGACCATGCTACAATCTGGGGTTTGAACTCATTACTGTGAGCAGTTCTGAATAATTAACTGAGACAATGGTTAACCACAAACACCCATCCATCAAATTTCTGAAAAGAAAAAAACAGAAAAGCACATGGTCATAGCCAATTATGAAACCACACAGCACTAAAAATAGCATAAAAATAAGCATCCCTTTCTTTTCAACTGTGTATTTTATAAAATGCGGGTTGATTATACTCTAAGATACAGGCTGTTATGTGATAAAGAAAGAAAAAACAGAGCGAAGAAAAAGAACAATAAACCCTGGGTTTCTTGACAGGCTGCTCAGCCATGAATGGATAAATAGCTCAGCAAACTTGAATAATTACTGCACTTGGAACTGGCCTTCTGGTCCAGGTCAGAACTCATACGTGATGTACTATACAGCTGCAAAGGTCGCCATTTTCCATGCTTGGATATACACGTCTTTACTACAGAGTTGATGTCCTTTGCAGATAAAGTTGTTAGTTTGTGTGTGTATGTATGCTTCCAATTGAGCTATCAATCAGAAATATGACAGCTTAAAAATGAGTCTTTCTGGCTTATGTCCTTGAGAAGATCATGATATCAGACACAGAGCGACTGCAGGAGAACGGCCAGCTCAAACCTTCAACGTACATGAATTATGGCCATTTACTCACAAATTAAACACTCACTTTTGTAAATTGTGTGTGTGTTTGTGCACGCATCTTTACAGGAGACTGGAAAATACAGAGAATAGGTACAAAGTGTAAGAAGAAAACATTTCTTCCCAAGGGAGAAACAAGAATGTTAATAATACATCGAACAACTGCATCACTTCCTGCTCTCAAACTAGATCAGATCAAATAAAACAGGTAGAGACGCCGTCAGAGTATGGAAATGTGTTTCCTTTGTTTCTGTGTCTGAGATGCACAAACTTTTCTTAACTTTTCTGCCCTTTACAAAATCATGTCCCCCAAAAATCATCATGCCAGCAAACCCGGGGTCAACACATCTGAATGCACAAAATGATCACAGGTAGAGAGCACTTGTAACTGATGTTCTGATTAGCTAAAATGTGTGGACCAATTCCCTGTGCTGTTTTCAGAGATTAGGGCCATCAAAGACACAGGTCAGGTGTGACACTTTTTTGACACTTCCACTACTGTCCACTGTGATCCTTTTTTTCCATTGTTCTTTGATAAATATAAACTGCAAAAGAACATTTATTTGAAATAGAAGTGTTTTGTAACATTATAATGTCTTCATTATCATTTTTAATGTGTTCTTGCTGAATAAAAGTATTAATTTACTTTATTATTATTATTATTTTAATCTTAATAACCTTTCTAAATGATAACCTTGTAAACAATTGTTACACAGAAGAAATGTCTACTTTAAACACTGTTTATATGGACTGTCAGTACATCTATCCATTCATCCATACTTCAACTCACCAGGCAAAGCGTGACATTCCTGCTGTTGTGGTTCCCACTGACAGTTGATGTTAAGCAAGCAACTCCTGCAGTTCACCAGTTTGCTGCAAATCTGCTCACTTCGAACACTGCATTTGGTAAAGTTCTTCACAGACTGAAAAACAAGAGGACGGAAATAAGATAACTTCTGGTTCTATATTTTAATGTGCCAAGAACATTTACTGTACAACATTGTGTTGTCTTTAAAGAAGAAATCCATGGAAACCCTCTAGAACATTTATATGAGGAAGAAACAAGAGAAATCAAGAGGTTACAGATGAAAATTCTCTAAGCCAATCAATCGATCAATCATTTTATAAGCTCTGTTGCTGCATACCTGGCCGTTTTTGCGCACACCAGGTCTCCAAATAGAGAGCTGCTGCTCAGAAAGCATTGCAGGGGGAGGGTTGAGGTACAGGGGACCTCGAGGGTGGCGGGCAAGATCAATTGTAAGCTACACGCAGACAAAACATGACAGAGCATATTTTAATTGCTATAAATGCTTTTAAATCTTTTTAACCGCAGTGTCTCAATTTGGACATACCACAGTGCAGTTGCTTGAAGAAGAGATGCATGTCTTGTCTTCGCACCATTGGCAGTCATTGGTGTTGGCCGTACAGGAAACACAGTCTGAAAACTGCTTACACTGCGTATCAGCTGAATCTATGGTTAAAAAAACAAGAATCATCAGAGACAAGGAAAATATCTACTTATTAGCATAAAACAAAAATTGGAGGTCGGAGGTAGCGAGGGTCTTGACTCAAGAGCTCTCAAGGTGTAACACTTCACAACTGTGGTGAAAAATGAGTGTGCAATGACACATAGTTAAGGACTAAAGTTGAACAGCGGAGGTGGACATGGACAGGGCAGGGCACAGCAAAATTAAAACCGCAGAATCGAGGGGAAGAGCCAAGGACAGAGAAGAAACTTTTGTACTGACTGTGAATTTGTTTATTTCAGACCATGAATAACCATCATAACACATAAATACGGTTGTTCCTGTTCTTTACTTTTTGGGAGGATGTTTTCTGTTTGTTGGTTTGTTTTCATCATTATTTCTGGGAAAGAGAGGTCACACAGGAACTGGCTTTTGTCTGGAACGGTTTCAAAGAATAAACAACGAGAAAATCCAGGACAAAAATGAACACGAAGAATGGGAGAAAACAAATACGAGTAACAAAGATTCTTCACACTCGTCTTACTATTTACTATGACTTAACTGATAATGATTCAACATTTATAAACATTTATTTTTATTATATATATATTAGTGCTGTCAAATAATAAATCACGATTAATCGCATCCAAAAAAAAGGTTTTGTTTATATAATGTGTGTGTCCTGTGTATATTTATTATGTATATATAAATACACAAACATACATGTATATATTTAAAAAAATATTTCCATGCACATATGTATATATATATATATATATATATTCCCATATATAATTTATATTATATATAAAAATAAATATTTTATATATAAACAAAACATATATTTTTCTTAAATATATCCATGCATGTGTGTGCATTTATATATACATAATAAATATACACAGTACACACACATAGGCTATATTATGTAAACAAAAACTTTTATTTTGGATGTGATTAATTGCGATTAATCGCTTGACAGCACTAATATATATATATAGATAGATAGATAGATAGATAGATAGATAGATAGATAGATAGATAGATAGATAGATAGATAGATAGTGGGTATAGAAAAGAATCACCCCCTGTGTCGTCTTCATTTCAGGCTGCAAAGCAACAAAATTTGATTATTTTAAAGGGGGGGGGGTGATTCTGTTCTATACCCACTGTAATATTATATATGATTTTTCATCAAAGAATCCTTAAAAAATTTATCACTGTTTCTACAAAAAATATTAAGCAGCACACAAGACTGGAGTAGTTGATACTGAAAATTCAGCTTTGACATCACAGGAATAAATTATATTTTAAAATGTATTTAAATAGAAAACAGTTATTTTCAATTGTAAAAAAAAAAAAATCTAAAAAATTCACAATACTATTGTTTTGCAATATTTTGCCTTAACCTCAGACTGCTGAATGGTAGTGTGTGAGTGTTACACAATACATAATAATATCAGGAACATAGTGCATAGTAAAGTACAGCATGAAGTCCGACTCCAGATACTATAATGTACAGTATACAGGGAGCAACCACCCAAACAGTGCCCACATACAATGATAAACTGCACAATTACAGGTCTCTGAGATACACACAATACAGAACAATCCATCATGAACTTGTGTGTCAGTCCATTACTTAATTAAAGTCCAATCCACCTCTGATAGCACTCCAAACTCCACGTGGTAATTGCAGTAATCCTCTCAGGTCCAGTTTTGCCCACAGACAAAAACATCTGTATCCACAATCGCTGGAGTTTGGTTTCATTGCCATCATAATTACATCACTATGAGATTATTATGTGCCAACTGACCTTTTGTTCAGTCAATAATCAACAGGCATTTTCACAATCAGGCAGGGTTTACCCAGTGGAAAGCAGGCTGTATGCCATCAAGGTAAAGCAGAACATGCGAGTGGCTCTGCATATAAGCCTCCCAATGTATCAAATGTAAATAGGATTATATGTGGTTTAACAATAATCTCCTGACAGAGGATTTACTCCAGGTGTGCGTTTGACTAACGGTCTAACACAATTAAATGAGATGTACAGTGAATTCCAGCCCACTGGGATGGTGATGTGCGATAGTAAACCAGGTGTATAGATATTCCCACAAGTTGAAAGGATGTGTAAACATTTATAAAGATCAGATTTTTCTTTTTTTTTTAAATCACACTACTGTTCAAAAGTTTGGCGTCAGAGTTTTAAAAATGTTTTAAAAAGAAGTCTCATATGCTCACCAAGGCTGCATTCATTTGATCAAAAATACATTTAAACATTTAAAACAGTAATGTTTTGAAATATTCTTAGAATTTAAAACATCTGTTTTCTAATTTAATATATATTTTAAAATGTATTCATTGAATTTTCAGCAGCCATTACTCCAGTCTTCAGTGTCACATGATCCTAATATGCTGATTAGTTGCTCAAAAAACTTTTCTTATTATCAATGTTATAAACAGTTGTGCTGCTAAATATTTCTGTCGAAAGGATACACAAGATTTTTCATGGTTTTTTGATGAATAGAAAGTTTTTAAAAAATAAAACAAACATTTTGTATTGTTAAAATTATATAATTTATAATATTATATAATTGTATTTCTTTCAAACAAACAAAAAAAGCTTTTAAACAGTAGAGTATATTCTGACACCTCATTTATCTTATTATACGGCCCATTGGAATACACAATCATACCATTCTGTGGTTAAATATTTTTGTATAATGACTTTTGTATATAATGTACAGTGGTGTGAAAAAGTGTTGGCCCCCTTCCTGATTTCTTATTTTTTTGCATGTTTGTCACACTTTAATGTTTCAGATCATCAAACAAATTTAAATATTAGTAAAAGATAACACAAGTGAACACAACATGCAGTTTTTAAATGAAGGTTTTTATTATTAAGGGAAAGCTAAATCCATAACTACATGGCCCTGTGTGAAAAAGTGTTTGCCCCCTAAACCTAATAACTGGTTGGGCCACCCTTAACAGCAACAACTGCAATCAAGCGTTTGCGATAACTTGCAATGAGTCTGTTACAGCGCTGTGG